TTCCCTCTCTTACGTCATAAATATTGTAGTTTCGTTTGTTTTCTTCTTTTAAAACTATTTTTCCTTTCTTTTTATTTTTCGTGAGCCGGTGACATTTTCATTATTGTGTATATAATATTCTCTGCTGAAAATTTTAATATTAGTTTATTTTTACAGAAACAAATGAAATTAATATTAATCTAACGAGAAACTTCTGGCCTTCATGAGCCCATTTGGACTTCAATGGGACGTAGGCCCATGCCACAAGATGGGCTTATTTGGAAGATTAGCAGGCCCACTAGTATAAAACTGTCAATGGACTCAATACCATATATGACAAGTAAATAAAATCGTTTAATATGTTCGACCATATGCCCACAAACACATATATTCAACTTCATGGACCGGTGGATTTGAGTTCATGTTCAAAAAGGCTTTGTTGGTCTCCAATCTTTTATTCCTCATTATATATATGTGTGTGTATATATATATATATATATATATATATGTACAAACCTAATAATTTTAAAGAGTTTTTTGCTTTTTAAATGTAATTATAAATACTTTTTTTAAATTCTACAAAATTACCTGGACTCGCCCTCTCTTTCCTTTTCGATTTGGATTATCTCTAAACACGAGTAATCAACCGAACTTGAATACGTAATTTAGATTATCCATTTCAATGTACATTTGCTTAAGATCACTTTGGCAAGAGTATCCGAATTTCGAATACGATGGAATGGATATCCGGGTATTGAAATAGAGCGTAATCAGAGATATTTTATTTAAAAAAGAAAAAGAAAACGGATATTTTAGCTGAAATTAATTTCAATTAAATTAAATATTACAAGGAAGAAAAAAAAGACGGAAATCAAGCGGGTCCCACGATGTTTCCGCCTCGCTGTCACCCACTTTCTCACCCAGCTATGCTATCCATTCGCTATTATACTCTCCACTGGCTCTCTCTGTGTATTTGTATTTGGTATTTGCATTTAATAAAACTAAGATTGAATCTAAAATTACATTGAAAAACTAAGATATTTGTGGCCATGTTTTATATAGATCCGAAGATATGAATATAAATAATTTCATTAAAAAAACACTTACTCGAATAATCAAAGAAATCAATATTAAACTATCTTTACGAAGTTTAGGTCGATTAGTTCAAGACGAAAACTGTTTGGCCAATAACAAGACACCGTTTTTTATGGGATCAAAGATTTCGAATTACGGAATGCAATAATTACCAAAAGGTAATAAAAACACATCGGTGTCGTGTCGGACGAAACATATAACCCAACACTTGAAGGCAGAGAGATTCGTATTTTCTCGTAACCAATGCAATGAAGGAAGAAAAATCGAACATCAAATCAAAGGGAGAAAGAACATGAATCCCGAATTCCCCCAAGGAAAAATAAATAAATTAATTTTGAAAAAAAAAATCAAAGCAGTAGATACAATCCTATACAAGCAACAAGGACAATGCCTTCGCCGCCGGGAATTTGACCTCCGGACCGGAGATACTCCCGCATGCCTGGGGGAGCGGATAACCGCGACGGCGATATCTCCGGAGGAGGCGGAATTTCAGGGGGAGGAGCCGAACTTGCGACCGCGTTGGTCGCGGGTCGCCCCGCAATCACACTCGGATCCGACCCGAAGATCTCTCTGGGCAAAAGAACCTTGGAAACGCCGAAAATGGCGACGGGATTCTGATCGAAGACCGTCTGAGTAACGAACGCCTGGACAATACCCGTATCGATCGCGACCAACCCGTTAACCCGGGAGATGTTGAGAGTGTACGACCCGGCCCCCATTTCCTCGGTGGCGAGCGTGGGCTGAACCGGGTTGACGATCGATTCAAGCGACCCCAGCGGGTAATACGAGTGGAGGACGTGGAATTTCAGGACGACTGACTTCTTGTCGGCGGGCAGTGACTGCAGCCTCACGTCGCCAGGAAGGTCGGAGAAAGCGACGTCGGTCGGGACGAAGAGCGTGATTCCGGCGCCGCGCTCGTCGTTTTCGAAGTCCGACACTACCCCCGACGCTGCCAACATCGCCGCCGCCACGTTGAAGTCGTGACCATCGATGAGGGTCTTCGTGATGTTGAGACCCAGAGGAGGCCGACTCTCCGACGCCATCAGATCGAACCCGAGCGGAACCAGGAGCGAATCGACCGCCCAGATGGTGACGTTGTACGGAAGGGTCTTCAGTACGGACAAGACGGTGGCGTTCGAGGAAGGAGGGGAGTGAACTGTGACGGCATTCGTGGTCGGGTCGCGCGTGATGTTCACGGACCCGGAATTGGGCCCGGCCCGACCTGTTGTCTGGAAGAGAGTGGTGACGAGGGAGCCAGAGGGTGAGATCCGGCGGAGATCATGGTCGGAGATGAATTGGAGGAGGACGTGGTAACGGATGAGGTCCGCAAGGGAGGAGGGGGAGAGACGGCGCGTAAGATCCACGGACGCACCGATGTGGGAGTTGGGGACAGCGAGGATGGTGAGGGAGGTCCGGCCGGAGAGCTCCGCCGCGACGCCGGTGGAGGAGAGGAGGTCGGAGAAGGAGGAGAGGTCGGGGAAGGAGGAGAGCAGGGAGGTAACGTTGATCGCGAGGAGGGAAACGGGGGCGGATACGAGAAGTAAATAGATAACCCTGACGAGGGTAAATCGGGAAACCAGAATTTTCCCGGCCATTCTACGCCGGGAAGCGTCGCCGGAGAAAGCCCTCAGCCGGCGGTTTGAGAGAGAGATAGAGAGACAGTGCGTGTGTGTGAGAGAGAGAGAGAGTGAGCGTGGAGATGAGATGTTTCGAGATGGGTGATGGATTATGATGCGGTGATGACGTGGCAAAGCATGGGGCTTTGGCGGATAAAATTTTAACGAGATGTGTTATTCCTCAACGCGCGTCAGAGGGGCGCGTGAAGTTCACACGCATCCAGACACGGTAGTTCGTTCATGAATGATTGGGTGTTGGTGTTCTAATGATGTCTCTGGACTTTGTTGTAAAGGTCCTAATGTGAACGTAATTGGAAATCAGAGCGACCTTTTTATGATTATAAAGACAAAATGTAATCATTATATGATATATACAACAGTATATAAATTATATTCGATTGGAATTTCAATTTCTACCAAAACGTAACAAACTATTTAACGACGGAGAAAAGCGAAGATAACGTAGGCTTTTATCATTGGACTCAGAATGGGCCTTATTGGGCTCATCTCTACCTGTTTGACAAAAACGGCCCAATATATTAAAAAACCCTGCACGAAGATATTCTCTAAAGTACAAGCCTGCATCAAGAAAACGAGATTTAAGGTTTAATTTTCCATGCCAAATGCCCTTAAACGTGCGTGTATATATATGTGTATGTATGTATATATATATATGTAAGGTCCAGATACATATCATTATTCATATTCAATATATTTAAATATATATATAGTGACGGACACAGAAAAAATTGTTAATGGGACATGGTTATTATATATACAAAATAGAAAAATTTAATAAAAATATATCATTATAAATTTTGTACCTTATACAACTAAATTTTATGATTTTTATTTTTTGAAATTTATATATAACAACTTCATTGCAACATTTGAAATGTATATTTTTCGATAAAACAAACTAGACAATCAATAAAAAAATTGATCACCAATTCGGTTGTGTAAAACTATTTTCACAAAATTTATCGTTAAAAAATTTTTCAACAGTCGCGGTGACAACATACAAAATCAAAAGTAATTTCTTTGTTTACATCATAAGACAACACGATTTTTTTCAAGATTATTCAAATTAGAAAATTGTCTTCTTCTATCAAATTGTCAATGTAGATATTAAAAGTTGACGTCGAATAAACATTTGTTCTGTAAAACTGAAATTCAAGTCTCAATTTATTTTCTATCATCTTTTTTGAAAAGATATGATCATGTAGTTGACAAGATCTCTAATCAAATATTTACAGTCTTATCTCATCTTTCTAATAATTAGGATGATATTTTAATATTTTTTATTTCAATTGAATCCAAAGCCAAACCATCCAAATCAATTTGCTCTAGGGGTTAACTTGAATATTTGATATATTATCGATTATAATTTTTTCAGTATCCTGATAAATTTTTTTTTTGAAAATTATCAATTGTTTACCAAATCAAATATAAAATTAAATAAATAAATAAATAAAACCAAAATTTTTAATTATACTCAAAACATAGAAATCAATGATTAAATAAAAAATAAAAACCATAACTCTTACATATCTTTAATTTAGTTATTCTTTGTTTTTTAAATTATGATTAAATATTAGATTGTAAATGTTTTTTTATAAAAAAATAGTTATGAAATATTAAAAAATAGATAAGAAACAAAGAATAAAAAATGAAGTTGCTTAATCTAAATAAGAGAATAGAGAAATAAAATAAGAGGAGGGGCACACATAAAAATTCTATGGGGACATTTAGATTTTTTGTTAAAATTTTATAAAATTTATAACTAAATCATAATTTTTTTATTTAAGTTGATGGGGGTCTAGGACCCCACTCCATTGCATGTATTCGCCTCTGTATATATATATATATATATATATATACATATGTGTGTGTGTGTGTGTTTGAATATACCGTAGAGGAAAAGGGCAACCCATCATTATCCAATGAAACCGTAGGTCTAATTTATATATGGATGTATGCACATAAATGTTAGGCAAATCACACCTATATCACCATAATTTATTTACACAATTAGAGATGCCAAAATGAGTTCGACTATAGATAGGTTAATCCATACCAATATATTAATAACTAAAATTGATTAATTAATAGGAAAATTTATTAAAATCACGGGGTTAAATAGGTTAATCGATTAATCCAAATGTTTGGGACACCGATAAACTGCTCAAAGTTTCCGGTGAGGACTCCGACAACGTCTCCGGTGGCACTAATCCAGAAACCACTCGTCGTCATTGGAGCCTTCTCATATGTCTTTAGGGTTTAGCCCTCTCCGTTTGCTTTATAAATATTAATTAGAAGACAGGATTCGGAACGGTTTTTTACAATTTTTTTATTAATTTATAAATTTTCAGTTTTTATATATATATATATATATATAGTATTTTTCCAACTTTTTTTTTGATGAAATGTGCATTTGTATTAGCATTTTTTCCGAAACTTTAGCCATAGTTAATAATTCGTATGTATGTATAAATACGTTTAGCAATTTTGTTATTCGAACCCCACATTCTGTTATTGTCAAAAGCAAATTCCCCATCTTGAATGGCCAAGGACCATTCAAACCCCACATTATATTCTATATTCCACGCGACCTATATATATATATATATGTATGTATATAAGCTATCTATATATGTATATGTATTAGTGGAAAAACATCAACTCTTTGCTCGTCGAGACGCCTGTCTCAAAAAATAAAGGATCATATTCTTCATAAATAAAATATTTGTATCGGTATAACAAAATATAATACAACTACCTTACCAAAAAAAAATAATACAACTAATATTAGACAGTATTTTTGCCGTTTTAATAATTCAAAATTTTAATTTTATTTCCCCTTGTTTATTTGTGATTTGTCTTATAGTTATATTGCACAAATATGATTATGTTTAGACTTTGCAACATATATATATATTAAACAGGCATGTTTCATGCCTCATTTTTATACGTGATGCCGTTTACAATCATACATCCAACTATTGTTCCGTGTAGAAATCAATTTCTAATTGGAAATTGAATTAGATTATTGGGTATACAATTGACGTTTCGTGATATTTACATTATTATTCGTCGGTTTCCAAGAGACCACACCTATTTTTTTTAAACTTTATTATATATTTTGAAACTTGATTAAATAAAAAACGAATTTAAAGAAAAGAAAAAGCTAGTGGACAACTTGACATTGTAAAATAGAATTATCTTGACGCTAATACTGACTGGCAAAAGTTAAATTAATATATGGTTATGAAATAATTGTCTAGATCATAAATAAAAATTAGCAAGGGAGACGAAATCAAATTCCAAGTATGATTTTATCTCCAATTATTTTGTTTTAGGAAAAAATACCGAAATTATAAAATGATTTCAATTAGTTTTTATTTGGTTTTAAACCAGCCTTTTTTTTCTTACAAATAAAAAATATGTCGATTTAATCATATCATGTTTATTTTCTAGCCATATATTTTCAGAATTTAGAACTCCGATAACAAGCTCGAAATCTTTATGTGTAGCGGTCCAGCTGCAAGTCTCAATCAAATTATTAAAAATATATGTGCAAACAAGAATGGAATTTAGATAAATATATTATTAAAACAATATTTATAATCATAATGCAACAGATTATTCGATGATGATTAATTACAATACCATAAAAACCCAAGTCGCTTTCTGACAAAGTAAACCATCTACGTGGCTTTCTAGCCAACTCTGTTTTTTGGGGGGCAGAATAATACGGGGTCTGATATTCCGCCACGTGTACGGTGGATACAACAGCAAGACTTCTCCTCCTCCATTATAAATAACAGCCATTGCCACAGGACAAACTCACAGAAAGCATCAGAAAGAAAGAGAGAAGAGGAAGAAGAAAGAAGAGAAAGCAATGGCAGGCTCTAACTGTGGCTGTGGATCCAACTGCAACTGTGGCGACTCTTGCAAGTAAGCCAAATCTTTACATACGTACATACACACATATACATACATAGGAAGGTATGTAGAAAATTTCACACTCGAGATGGGATATTGGATTTAATTGATCCGAATGAAACTTAAGGGTCGTTTAGGTGATATTGGTGAAATATGAGGTTTTGTTTGAGTTATAATTTAATAGGTTTCTGTTGTGATAGACTATGAAGGATCATTTATTACTCGATTAATATATTAATCCCTCCGGTTTTAAAATATTTGTAGTTTTAAATTAATATCCATGTTTCAAAATATTTTCAAGATATTTTTTTACAATAGTTTCCAATTTTATCTCTATTAAATTTTAATAAATATTAACGATAGTATTATTTTTATTATTAAATAAAGATATATGTGAGTTTTTCTAATTTTTTTAAAAAATGTAAAATAATCTAAAACAATAATTATTTTGAAATAGAGAGAAAGTAATTAATACTTATTATAATAACTGATTTTATGGAAATGTAATTAATACACGTGCATGGGGATTGCAGCTGCGAGAGGAACCACAACGCGGAGTGCGACAACTGCAGCTGCGGTTCAAACTGTAGCTGCGGTTCTGGCTGCAATTGCTGAATATGCCTCGGAATATTCTTATATTCTAAAATAATTTAAATAAATAATGGGCACATAGTTTGCCTTTGGTTTGTATTTTTTTCTTCTTCTGCTGCTTCTCGTTATCAATCTATGTCGGGATGATTGTATACGTTGTGATTGTCACTGTGTTGTGAAATCTGAAAAAAAAACTGAAATTTGTGTGTTGATTTTTGTTGAATCATGAATTATTATTCCTATTAATATTATATATGTATATAGATACACCACTTATATCAAATTTGATTATAATAGAGAAAAATGATAAAAAAAAATGCTTGGATTTCTCGTTCTTCACAATAAATTATGAAATATAATCTTATCTATCTCATTTGATTAATGTAAATATCTAAAATTAAATCTAAGTATTATATAGAAAAAATCCATAAAAATATGAACACTCTACATAATGAATTAAAAAATATATCGTTTTATATTTCAAATATTGAAATATAAAAAAATACTTTTAACTTCTAAAATCGAAACTAATTTAGCTCATTCGGTCAAAGATTCGAATATAAAATTAGTTTCTGATTTTTTTTTTCAGTCTTCGTGAGTTTACCGATTTGCCCCAAAACGATAGACACCGAGATGATAAATGCGGCACATTGTTTTGGATCATTATGGAGTAATCCCGATTAACAACTGTCATAAACCCCAAATTAAACCGAAACAACGCGCTTAATTTAAATTTCGGTTCTTTTTTGTTTTCACGCCCTAAACATGTACTAATTAAGCTTGAACTGTGGTAAATTCCTCGCCAAAATAATTAATTACCCGTTTAATTAATTCCCCTCCTCTTAATCCCTCCCGCCACCGCCTTCCTTCATCCCCCTCTCCGCCGCTCGACGAAAACTAAATACGTTAATCAGTTCAGCTCAACCTTCTTCCGCGCAGTAAAAAGTGAGTCCTTTGATCACTTCGACGAAAACCCGTAAGCCAAATCCCATCGAGTTCGATTTCGATTTCATGGAAACGAGCTGCTGCGGCGATTACGCGTCTGTTTCTTCGCTGAATCTCGTCATGGTGGCGACGAAGACGACAGCGACAGGGCAGGAGGAAGAGTCGATCGCGATGACGATGCTCTCCGTCGCGTTCATCGCGCTCTTCTACGGATCCATATTCCTCCTGTGTTTCCTGATGTACCCGAAGCTGCCGAAGGATGCCGCCGGAGACGAAGAATCCGGAGAACCCTTGCCGCCGGCGGAGAGATTCGGGAGGAGGAGGACGGAGGTGTGCGTGATCTGCATGGAGGATCTGGAGAAAAACGACGTCGTGAGGGTCCTGGTGAAATGCAAGCACATTTTCCACGTGGGGTGTATAGATTCATGGTGTATGTATAGGCTGGCTTGTCCGGTATGCAGGGCTCCTTTCCGGTTGCTTAGCGCCTGGTGATGACGTGATTTGCTAGGCATGAGGTTTTAGCTTATGATTCGATCCGATTTATACGTCTTCCGGTTTTGTACATATATATTTTTTTTGTATATGCAGAACAAAGAAGAGTAATTATCGCATGTCTTTTAATATACATATATATATATATATATATATATATATATAACACGATCCACGACAAGTTTTTTGGCCAAAATAATGATTTGATTATATATGGGATAGAGTATTCGTCCCACATGTGATGGCATATATTCGTGCAGATAAATACAAAAGATGCCATGCCGGTTTGTATATAGACAAAATAGGCTTATATCAAAAGTCAAAAGTTACCCGTGAATTTGGTTGGTGCTTACACTTTATATATTTCCATCATTACATTCAAAATTGGGTGATTCAAATTGGGTAATTCAAATGATAATAGATAAGATAAAGTTTACTTTTAATCAAGGTTTGATCTTGATTTAGAACAAATATTTTAATTGATTTTCTTTTATCCTCTAAAAGATGTCATTAGGTTAAAAATCTTATAAAATTTTCGGATTATTAAAACATTATTAAAACTCTCTGCAACCTAATTTGATTCCTCACCTTTTGACTGTGCTTCCGAAACGACCAAAGTGCATGTGACCCGTACGGATGTCCTACGTGGACCAGAACTGGTTGACATTTTTTTTCAACTCATTTGACTTTTCAAATCCTAATGATCTTTCTAATGGTCGGTATACAATATTTTCCGATAGTGGAAGCTGTTTTCTTAACCTCAAACCATCAAAGAAAATAAGATTTAAATACTTTATTGGACTATATGAAACGAATTTCGGCGGCTAATAATTCGTACACCTTATGGATTAATTGTGAAATTAATTAGGGACGCAAACTCAGTTGCTCACAGAAACACGAGAAGCCGAGCCATGTAAGAACCGACTGAGCCGACTCGGCGGCATGCATCTGTCTCTATGGGTCCCATTAACGTCACAAACGGTAGGGTGTTCACATTCACACTCCGGAAAACCACGAAAGTAAAAAAGACTTCCCATTAAAAATAAACTTTGAATGTATTAATTTATATTAAATTATCATTTAAATTTTAGTTCGCGAAATCAAGTTTTGGAATGTAATGAATGTGACAAAAATAAATTTCAAAATTATTGGAGAGAGAGAGAGAAGTAGAGATGGGAATCAATGCGCGGCCGTCTGCTATTAATGCCATCTGCCAACCCCTCTAATCTCTCGACACGAGCTATTTGCGGCTAAGTAACAGTGGCCCCCATTCACTCGTAGAAACCTTCTCGAAGTGATTCAGAAGAATCTTTTGGAAGAGAGAGGTGAGAATTTGCTGCTTCTTCCTTTGCTAGTTGGTGGGTCTATCGCTTTTCTTTTTTCTTTCGGGTTTGATGAGAAGAGGCGTTAGACCCTGCAGGTGAAAAAGCTCTCCTTTTTCCGACAAGTGGATTTGTTTTCTGTCTCACTTTCTGGGTTGATATGTAATTTTTTTTTGTCTTGTGGGTATATAGGAAGAGATTGGTTGTCTGTGATTCTTCGAGAGCTCAACCATGGGGATTTGCTTGAGTGCTCAGGTCAAAGCTGAGGTTTCAGGTAAGACAGGTTCTTCAAAGTTTCATGCTTTCTCTTCATAAACAACGGTTACTGATACAGATTTGGATTTAGAAAACAGAATAACAAGAATTTTCTGGGTCGGCGTAGATCTTGTTCTCCCACTTGTCATGTTTCGCCATGAGAGCAAAAGCTCATGTCTTTTCTCTTCCCGGGTTTTGAAATGTTTGGCTTTTGTGAGCTGTGGCAAAATTTTGTTTCTCTT